GGAATACAAACTAATGTATGTAATGTTTCTAAGTTAGTCTTTGGCATGTATTTACTGCATGTTCTTGTTACTTATCAGCTGATACAAATATATATGTAATAAGCCAATATTGGTCTGGCAAATTTATTGGTCGAATGCAAATTCCGAACTTATCTTGAACATAAAACAATAAACAAAATACACCGGTACAATTATTACGTATTTTAGTTTATAGTATTTGAGGATAGAAAATGAAAGATACAGCTACAATTTATTGCTTTCTTTCTGTGCTGAAGGGCAGCAGTAGTTTGCCGTTATTTGTTCTGCTATGTGGGATTTAAAACATGTGAACTACAGAGAGGATAGCTATGTGATTAACAGGTGTGCAAGGAGGATGAATAATGAAGAGAGGCAGTGTCCTCCATCTTGTTAATCTTTTTCTCTGATCTCATCTCTCCCTCACTGCTTTCGCTCGTCACCTCAATCTCTGAGTCGCAACGGCGAGTCGAGATTCTGTTTACGTATGTCTCTGCTTCCCTCTCCTCTATATGTGAAGGTGAGCGATAGACACCTGGCATCGGCACGCAGACTACTGGCTGGCATTTTTCAAGGTAATGCTGCAGGTGACCTCTGACCTGGACGACTGGACTCTGCTGAGCTCAGCCGTAATGATCGACTGTTATTCTTCGCCCATCAGCCTCTGCCTTTCACTGACTGTCCCCTCGTCCTGAGGTGATGAGGAGAGAGACGAGAGGATGACAGCGGCAGTGAAAACAGACAGTTGTTTGTGTTGTGTGTGTGTGTGTGTCAGGGTATGGAAGCAGTATATCAATACATTGCTTTATTGAGGTGCCAGCATTAATTTGCATGTTTTTTTTCTTCTTGTGCGTATGGGACAGGAATGGATATGCAAACAACTCAGTGGTGATGGGAGAACAATGGTGGTCTTGAGGGCATTTCTTTCATTACGGTGTAATGCTAACCCCTTCCAACAGTTTTGTGGATGAAGCTCTTTGAGGATTTGGTTTTAGTAGCTGTATACTTTGGTCATGCAGAAGTTATTTTGAAATTAAAATGGTCAGATTTAAACAAATTCTAATAATAAAATAAATAAATAAATATACAGTAACACAACAACAGACAGGTGCAGGTGATCCTAAATGGACCAGGATCACAAAGATGCTCACTGGTCTCTTCTTTCATTCTCATCAATCTATAATACTCACCCCATTTAGACTAAATTTAGATTTTATTGCCCCAGAGGGAGATTTATTTTCACAGCCAGTTGACCATAGAAACACACAAATATAACCACAACAACATACGGGGGTTCAACATGGTGGACTATATATCAACGTCGACCTGCAGTGTCTGTAGATAAAAACACGTCATTCTAAGGTAACTAAAACAAAACAATTCTTATATTCAGGTGATTGTACAGTAATGAAAACATACCTATGAATATTCTATACCATTTCTGCCAATAGATCCTCCTAAATGTTACACACTGGACCTTTAAGCTGATCCCCTGAATATATTGTTTGATTCAATTTGATTGGATTGCTATTTCATAGCTCCTTTTATTTAGTTGCAAATACACACAAAAAAAAAAAACTAGCAATGTCAAACACTTTAAAGACATTTATACTTTGCCATTGAAACCTTGTACTTATACATGAATACACCACTTCCTTGTTTTTATAATTTATGTAACGGCTGAATTGCTACTTTGCATATATTTTTCACCCCCCAAAAAAACTAAGATTTAAGAAAATGAATGATTGCTGCGGATGAATCTACCCAGAGATATATATATATATATATATATATATATATATTATGAGGTATTTTCAGCAGATATTTCTGTACTTTTAATTCAGTAGGACTATTTCTTGCTATAAAGTAGTTTTGCATTGTGGTGATCTTAATTCAACTTTCATTTGTGGAGTTTGCAGACAATGCCAGCGATACAGTATAAGTTGAAACAATTTTAGGAGCAGTGAAAGAAATTCTAACCATATGGCTCAATGATATAGGCATAAGTCAAAAAACAACTAGAGAGACTTCAACAGCTGATGGGGGGGATGGGAGATAAGCAGCACCGGAAATGGAGAAGTCGGCTGAAAGAGGCTGTGGTGGTATTAATTAAACAATGCCCATTTTAATCATAGCTAATTATATTTGCAGGCGAGGGTAGAGAGGAGTGAGGGGGCTGAGGGTGATTCTATCTGTGTCCCTGCTCATTAGTACGGTGGAGCTGTCTCATACAGCTCCTGTCATCAAATAATCGGCATATAAACATAATCTCTATCAGAGGAGGGTGATACTGTTAAAACATCGATTATATAGGACATTTTGGTAAAGACCAACACCTGAATAGAGCTGTTTGTGTATCAACCATGTAGAAATGTGAAAATAAAGTGCTTCCGGGGCTGCTTTTGAGCAAAGAAAACACAGTCAGACAAAGACTGGGAATATAATAGTGTGGAATACGCCAGGAATATATTTGAGCTAAAGAGAGCAGCCTAACACCTCCCCACTGGTTAATTTGTTAATTAATGTTGCACCCATTTATCAGTCAAATGGCTGCTAATTAGTCTTTTCAATCTCCTCTGCCTTGAACCACATTTTAAACTCTTTCTTTGCCCTCCTCCTTTGCCTTGTCAATAATCCAGCCACCACTCTTTCCTCTGTTCCCTTCTCTCAATCGGCTGCCTGTTATCTCCATTCATCACTGACTGTTTCTCATCTATAAACATTCGGGAGCTCAGACGTTGACCCTCGACTCCTGGCTGACCTGGAGGTCGCCAGCAAAAAGGACTGGGTATTGAACGGAAATCATCATGGCTGTGTCTTATCTTTATGGAGGAAAAGGATTGGTTTAAACAGAGAAAATATAGGGAGTCTTGTGGGAAATTGGAGTTTAGAATATGAGCACTGGGCCACACTGAACAGGAAGAACAGTAGGTGTGATTGCTTTCCCATGTCAGGTTTCTATCTCTTGTCCTGGCTTGGTGACGGGGTGTGTGTGTGTGTGTGTGTGTGTGTGTGTGTGAGAGAGATGAGCTGCAGTCCCATAGCCTCCCTGTCTGTTTCCTCCTGCCACAATCGGCTACAGCTCTAAAAGCGGATTATACTGTCCACCCAAAACCTCCTCACCTAAGCTCGGAAAGGGACGGTAGTCTCTCTCTCTCTCTCTCTCTCTCACACAAACACACACACACACACACACACACACACACACACACACACACACACACACACACACACACACACACACAACAACAGGATTAGCATGCATGTTAAAAGATAGTGGGGGAAACGCAGTGTACCCACACTCCAGCGTCTGTATTAATGAAACGCAAGAGGATCTTTATCAAGACAAGAAGGATGAAAATAATCATCTTCTAACAAGAGGCATCGGCAAATTGATTCAGTGTTTACAATTATATTAAGACATAATGCATTTTATTTTTTCAATTAGGTTGCAAAGGAAGATGGTTAATTTATATATTAGCGTGCACACTTTATTGTTTAAAGAAGGATAAAATGCAGATACAGATGAGATATTATCAGTTTATCTCCAACTGACGATACGGCAGCACTGACACGCATATGTGCATCATCAGGGTCCACGTGGGAAATTGTGACATTAAGGGAAATATTTAGGACCATAAAATATGATTTACATTACTGTCTCATGAAGAGACATCAGACCAGTAATGGACAGAGAAAAAGGTTTTCAATAAAACCTAGAATGGATGGAGAATGAAAGAGGGGGTGGCACGAGAGAGAGAAACACAGACAGAGAGAGAGACACACAGGAGTAAAAAAGCGACAGATTTTTTTTTTCTGTCTGGTTTTCTATAAGAGGAACGAGAGGAGATAAGACTAAAAGGACTGTCACTCAGAGGAACAATCCTTCCAGTGTCCCCTCTTGCTCCTGCTGCTCCTCCCTCCTCCCTCTCTCTCCAATTTCCACAGATTCCTGCTGAGATAGAGTCGCTGTTCACAGGGACAGTTTGCTGACATCATCCGCTACATACTGAGTGTCCTGCACTCTCACTGCCCCGCCCCACAACACTTCTGTGACAGGATGGACACACACACAGAGACATGATAATTTCCACCCTGTACAGTTCTCAATGACTGGCTGATCAATCATCTACAATACGATTAATCATTGTTACGTTTTTCCTACTATTTCCTATTTGTTTATTTTGTTGGATGTTCATTGTTTACTCATTCAAACATGGGAAAATTGACATTGAAAGAAAAGGAATGTAAAACATGCAGATTAAAATCTTGATATAATGTTTAGAGTGATAATGTAGATAATGTCCATCTCCAAGTACGCCAACACACAATTCATTTATTGCTTTTTCAAAACAAATAGCAAATTTAAAAACTGATTAAAATAGTGCATATAAAAGTACAGAATTACCCAGAGATCCCTTTTCTAAATCTCTAAATCTTACACCACATATTGATCTTGCTTGTGCAGACCAGTGTAATACGATTCAGCAGACAGTTTCATACTGCATGCTACAGTAGTAGGTACACTTGTTATGGATATTAGTTACAGCTGGGATTGTATATGTATCTAATTGGTTCTTGACAGAGTGTGACATCAGGAAAACTTATGTAGGAAATCATAAGGTAAAATGTGGCCATTATGGTGTACAGTACGGATGACAGCAGAGCAAACCAACCAGAGAACTGCAGGTTAGACACGCATTAAAGTTTAGGGTTTGGTATGCATTAAATGTGTAGGAATTGTAATACAATACGTGGAAACAGTATCTCTTTTGACCCCAGATATGCAGCGGCAGATATTCCACATACAAACTGCAGCTAGCATGGAGAGTGCTTCATATTGTGCTTATATGTTTTTGTACATACTTATTGATGAATTCAGCTTGTTTTACAAACAGGGTTTGGGACACAACAGTTACATCCATTGCTTTTATATTCTTGTTGCATGCTTTGAGGGCTTTACCAATAACAGAAAACAACAGAAAGACGTTTCAGGACAGGTTTGCTTTATTTTTCTTTCTGAAAAGAGTATTCAATTCAATTCAAGCAATCTCTGATGTAACTGCTATTCTGAGTAAAATGGAGCTCAAGCTGCCATTAAAGTAAATGAAAGTAAACAGAAAATATGAAGGAAATATGGACAAAACTGAAACATAAAACACCCTTTATTCCAGCAGACAGATCTAAGCAGCAAACCTGTGTAATCTGTGAGGTCAGTATTTCTATAATGCTGATTAATTTGTTTATGCCAATTTAAGGCTCGGCTGAATTGGAAACATACTGAAAGATCGTTTTCTGCAAATAAAAAGAACTGATTCATACTCTGAAGAACAGATTTTTTTTAAGACAACTCAAATGTATCAGGAACAGAAGAGAAGCTTCTTCCAACCTTGTGATGATACAAACTGGATTAAGTCCATCTCCATAAAGGGAGATAAAACAATCATTGTTTCACATGTGTTCAGCATTCCACAATCATTGCATTTCAGCAGACTGTCTCCATCCCCAGAAAAAGAGGCTGACAGAAGAAAGTTATCATACCCTTGATACAGAGGCCAGTGTTCCCCTCACCTTTACAAGACCTCTGCCTCTGCCCGTCTACAGCACCATAACAGCGTCAGGCTGAAGTGCAACAAAGGTCAAGATTGAACCATCTTTTTATGGGGATCAAAGACATATCGTTTGAAATGCAAGTGAATGCTAACAGGCTGAGGATCTGTTTTGGGCTCCTCTTCATTTGCTGGTCCACCTTTGCTTCCACCCTTCCCTTTCTTCTTAGAGGTGGAGGATAACAACTGCTTGGTTTCTGCGCAAAGGCCCTCTGAACAAAAGACAAACAGGTAGGTGAAGAAGGTTGATCATCTATTATTAAAAAAATAATAATTAAACATATAATCATTATATAAATAGATCCCCCTACTTACAAAATCTGGATCTGTGTACATTACCTAGGTCAACTTAACCATCTCAATGTAGGTATATCTGATGCGTGATAGTGATCTATTCTACCCTGTTATGTGTGCAGGAGGTGCTGTATCAGTGCTTCTGTGTGCTGACCTCGAGATCAACTGATGCCTTCATCCTCCTGATGTAACTGATGAAAATGTGCAGAGAACCAGGTCTCAGCTGCTCCTCCAGTCTCTGCGTTAGTCTGGCTCATCGTCACAGCTCCGTTTCTCGTCTATCTGCTCAGACATAACTATTCCTTCACTCAGGCCTTGTTTTCAGCCAAACTGAGCTGTTTCCTGGACCGCCGAGCTGCTGTCTGATGCTCATCATGCAAACACTACAAAATTTTCTATGCCCTTCAATATTTTTCTGTATGTGTGTCTTTCGGAGGATAAAAACTGGTTTGTTTGCCGTTTTGCACACGGATGGCAAGAAATGTTCCGGGTTCATTGCTTTACACACAGGCTGTCTGACCCCACGTACAAAACGGCGCCAGCATTCCTCTTGTTATCGTTATGCCAATGTGAGGGTTGTTATGGTTGCAGTGCAGCAAGAAATCTCTTTTTCTTATCTATGATCAGCTGAACATGTCCGTTTACCAACACTAAACACACCCAAACTTAAATGATTTGTGTTCACATACAAGTGACACAAAGGAATTGCACTTCTGCACATTTGTCCTCAAATAAATTTCTAGGTATTTGTGTGAAGAAGAAAAAAATAACATGTATTAAATCCACTATATAGAAAAATACTGCACACACTTGGAGGCAAATGGGACTGAAGCCTAAGAATCAAGGTAAGTGCATGTGAAAGCACAAGGCTAGTGGTACATTCATCAGACAGGGTCCAAAATTAACACCCAATTAGGACCAAATATGGGTTTAAATGGCTTTGGTGGACAAATAAAATAGGGTCAAAAGCCATGTTGCCAGCAAATGTATTTTTAAATAGTGTAAGAACAGAAAACACAGGGGTTCAAATCTTGTGTTTCTATTCTTACACTATTTAAGAGTATGGAGAAATTATAATATCACTGTCCCCACTGTTAATGGCCAGAAAATTGTCAAACACACAATAATTTAAGCTTCTCAAATGTGCAGATTTGCTGCTTCTGTTTATGTGTTATAGGAAAATAAATAGCATTAGCATGTTTGACCATGCAATTCATTGAGTAAAAATTAAAACAGTCTGTAGTTTAATAATGAAAATAATTGTCAGCCCTAGAAATAATGCAGGTATGAACAACAAAAAAACATGAAGCCAGTGAAGTCTGCATGAAAGCAGCTTCTCTTCATCTTATGTATGCGTGAGAAAATACTTTACAAAAGAGTGGGAAACTCACAGTAGTGACAAATAGCAACAAGTCCTGTATTATCAATCAAATCTATATCTCTATAAAGAGATAAAACAACCCTACACTCACTGCATTATGACGTGTTTTCAGTTTTGCAGAATTTCATAAACAATTAGAGTGAAATAACTACAGGGGAAATGATGAATCATGGAAAGGGAAAGCTTGCAGAAGGCTAAACTGCCATAAAGTGAAACTTCAGAATTAAAATGTCGGCAGTAATGGATAAATACACCCAAACCCATCACGACATTGATACTAGCGTATTGATGAAGTATCGTAAGAAACCATGGTCAGATACATCTTTGTCCTAAAGCCCAGGGGGAGTCTCACATGAACACCACCGGGTGTCTGCATTATGTCCATGCATGAAGATGTGTGTGTCAGTATGTCTGAAACGTTTAAGTGTATGCATATGTAAGTGTGAGGCAGTGAAGAGGATGTAGGTGAGGTTCTCTTTCTAAATGTTTTTGTTTTCTCTTCCCTCCTGGTGTGGAGCAGTAGGTTCGGAGCAACAGAAGGTAAAATAAACACAGAACAGACTTCCCCCGGAACACAGGCAATCCCCAGAGGAATCCTGGGAATGTGGTTCAGGATGTTGGGCCTACCACTCTTACCGCATCCTGAAAACTGTCCGCAGAGCCCCAAAATCAAAATTACGATGGAGAAAGTGCTCCGGGTGTGTGTATTGATAAAGAGCGAGACATGTCTATGCTGTCCACTGTCAAACTAACCAACTACACAGATGATATGTGTGACTCTTGAACAGCATCAGTGGTTTGAGTACTGGTGTGACAGAGGTGATCACTTCAGGCAATCCTTACCTTGTACCCGAATCTTGAACTTCCCGCTCTGTCCGAACCCACCCTCGATAACACCAGTCTCACCCGTCGACAACGTAACCTTCAACCCCAGAAAGAGCTGGAGGTTTGTCTCCTTCTTGAACAGGTTTCGGCCAATCACAGTATAATCGTCAGTCACCTGGGTGGGAAAGAAACTGATGAGCTGCAGTGATAATGACAGAGAGATATGAAAGCTCAAAATGTAACAAATGTGATTAGAAGTCCTTGTTAAATGGTGTAGGAACATAGGATCTATTTACCACTGGGAAAATGTCAGGATTCATTTTAGTTTGATACCCTGTTTCTTTCCTCTGGCGTCTTGATCTTGTGGTGTGCCATAATTTTACTCATCATCATGACAGGGTGAGGAAGAAGAGCTGATCCTCTGTCCCGTGCCCTCATAACTTTTACCACTCGCCGTCAGCCACATTCTTCGACACTCGCCGCCTGGCTGTCTCGCTGTCTTTCTTTCATCCTCCTGCACATTTTATGCTATATTTGTTTGTATATCTTTCTTATCATCCATCACTAAGTCGATCTTAACCCGCCACTAATCTGATAACAGGAGGGCACCGCTCTGTCTCCAACTCGCCCCCCCACCGCCAGCTCTTCCTCTCTCTTCTGCCTAACCCTCATTCATTCCTGAACATTTGACCCTGACGTCCCTCAAGCGTGACTGATGCGCTGATAAAAAAAAAATACAGTTTCTGTACACGTCTGACAGACCGTATGAATTGTGACTGGACGAGGCCGTCATATCTCAACAATGCTAGTAATGTGTTCTTTTACAAAAAAGGAATTCTTTAGTCTTGAAACTTAACTGTCTCGTTCCGGACAGACAGATGAACGACAAATGTTACAACACATGACCGCGGTCTGACCTCTTGAACACGCTGTTCTACTCCTGAGTCAGTGACTGGAGCTGTCAACAGCCTGAGGTGTTAACAGCAGGAAACTAGTTCACACACTTGACCCCTGACCTGAATCTGACCCTGAACGAGGATCTAAACAGAGAAACTTAACTGTACAGTGAAGCATGACAAGAGCCATAACATCTTCAGTGTGCCTAGGACGAAAATACAAACTGTGAGAGGTTGGAGGGTGTTGACTTTTTGAAAAACAGATGCTGAAGTCAATAAGAAACCGACAGAATTAGATAAGATGAGATATGGATCGGTATGAACTGGAGCGCAGGATTTAGGACACAACATAACAGCCATTACACCAAGAGCGAAAGAGAAAGCGGAGTAGGGTGAGAGAGAGATGCTGAGCTAGGTGACGGTGAATTCATAGAGTCATGTGGGTATTCCTGTGCCACTCAGGTGTGTCCAAACAGTGCCAGCCTCTAACAGCTAGACAGGGCTAGTGGCGTCAGGCGGGCCACCCACGCACCCTTGTGTCACAGCACATGCTAAGGCATGCATACCCACCCATGCCTCAAACACTACTCACCAGGGCTGCATATGCATACTTGTTTGTGTGTACGTGTCTGTTTATGAATATACAATGGGGGCTCTGTCTGACAGGCACGCTCCACTGCCACCAGCAATGAGAAACATCCAAAGAAGAACCACAGCCAGGGGAAGGAGTACGAGGTGATAGAGAGGGCAGAGGAGCAAGGACAACACTCAAGGTTAAGCAGAGAGGATGAGAAAGGATCATTTTAAATACTCACCCTTTCCACCTGTCCCTCCTTGTGTTTTGTCTTGTAAATGCGCAGACGAGGCAGCCCAGTCTCAGCATAGCCTTTATCTTCAAACCCCTGCAGAAGACAACCTTGGAAGGCCAGCCGGCACGCATTGGCATGGATGTCTGTGTCCAGCTTGGAACCAATCACCAGGCAGAGTGAAGGACATGTGACTGGCCGCTCAAACTCCAACAAAGCCCATTGCTCCGGGTCAGGTCCTGAACTCCCTTCTTCCTGACCGGTGACATATTCATCCTGGTAGAAATACTCCCTGTCGAAGGTGAAAGGTGATTCTAGTGAACAGGGCTGTGATGGAGGTGGTTTAGTGTCTGAGGGGGACTCTGAGGCACCCACAGGTGGCAGGCCAAAGAATGTAACTCTTGCCATGACTGTCTCGTGACCCACAGTGATGTGGAACTTGGCACGGGTAGCCAGAGAGCCCTTGAAGTAGCCTATCTTCCTCACAGAGATGACAGCGGCATAGAGGGTGTGCAGGGACCCTGGGGTGCACACCACACCCCGCTCTAACAGTTTAGGGTCAAACTGTGTCACACACACACCCACACGATCCCCCTGCATGGCCCCAGACACTGGCTTCCGAAACATCTGCACTGACTTTATCTTCTTGGTCACCTGATGTCAGAGAGCACAGAGATACAATAAATAACATTAACTTAATAAATATTTAATTCAACATAAATAATCCACAGTATGTTATATTCACAATGCCTCAGCCAAGCATGTTTAAATGTGGGTAATGCTGTTTTTTGTTTTGCCATTTTCAAACACCTCTTCAAGTCAAACTATCATTTTACAATTAAACCGTAGAAACTAATCCTGGAATCTGGAAGATTAAAAAAAAAAAAAAACTTAAATAAAAAAAAAAAAAGTTATTATCTCCACAGTTAAGGGAAAAGGCCTTACAGAGGACATAGGTCAATAAAATATGCACATACATAAGTAAACTGCTCATTAAATATGCACAACTTGCAGTGTAAGCCTCTTTCTTTAAAAGATAAGATAGCTAGTTTTCATAATACTGATTTTGCCAATTAATGGCAAAGACAGACCATGTTCAGATTAAATATAATATAATATGTACTGAGGCTTAAAGTCCTAAAAAGTGCAAAGTATTATTTGTGTGTGTGTGTGGGGGGGGGGGTGAGACACCTTTAGCCAAAAATCATATTTAAATGATTGTCTAAATAATATCAAGCTTTGATTTAAAAAAAAACTTAATTATAGCTGATGATGTGCTTTGTTTTGTTTAAACTATACATCTATAAAGTAATCACAAGTGTACAAATGAATAATTAAAATATATCTATCTATCTGTCTATCTTTCCATCTACCCATTTATGATAATGTGATCTGTCATTACACAATGTTTCTGTGGTTGGTTTTGTTGTGTGTTAACATACACTGACCAAATTAGCGGTGGTGGCTCAGATCAAGGCTCCATCACAAGTGACTAGTTAATTTAGCCATTTGCTGCCACCAAGAGGTGAACATGAAAACTGCAGGCAAAACTGCTGAGCCTGGCTGAAAGTGTGCATCTGGTCTAAATTACCCAACTCCTGTGCTGCCAGTCCTCCCCCAGTCCCCTCATCCTTCCCTCGCATTAAACTGACACATCCTCTGAACCCACTCGGCCATCCCTCCCTCTGTCTGCCAACTTCCAGTCAACTTCTGAACTTCCGAAACTCTGTGGTTTTCTACGAAGGAATTTCTGGCGCGTTGGTTATGTTACTTGCTTGTAAATATCAGAGATTCAGAATTCATGCCCATTTTTTGGAGTGTACCTTCAGCGCTGGGATTTCCACAGTGTCGTTGATGGCCAACGACCCCTGCAGGATGGTTCCAGTCATGACTGTTCCCTGACCACGGATGGAGAAGCAATGGTCCACAGCCATCAGAAGGTCACCTCCGGGGTCTCTCTGAGGGAGGTATGTCTGCTTCTTCAAAAGCTGAGACAAACAACCAAAAGGGCAAAAAGACAGACGCATTTATTTACACACAAAAAAAGAAACTCTGTCATAATATTGCAAGTCAAACATACATAAACGTAAAACCAGATAAAAGAGAGGGACAGGCACTAATTAGATCCATATCTAGCTAGTGCTGTCTGACTTCGTGGTGGCTTTACAAACACTGGCTCATACACAGGGTCTCTTGTGTTATAAGTGACCCTGACATGTGAGTTATACTTCCGTTTTTCACACCCCAGGAAGAAAGGATAGAGGCTAACCTTTTCCAGGGCAGGTTGACCTCTAATTAAGAAATTGCAATATAGAAATCCCAAAGATATGTTTGAGGTAATTTAGGAAACAGTGCACACTTTTACATAGCGTGTCCTTCAGAGAGCACTGAAGAGTTTAGTTTTAACATAATAATAATAATAATAATAACATAATATCCCATTCAGTTTGTATTTTCATGAAATAAACAAACAAATTTAAGATATCCTTATTAAAATGCAGGTTTGAATCACATGTTTATATAAAACAAGATTATCTGATGGTGTCATATTACAAGATTTTGAACTTTTAATACTGAGATCTGTAGACCTCAGTATCAGTATCAGTCCAGCTATAGACAATACAACAATGACCTCAATTTGTTTGAATTTCTGAAACTAATGCTTCTCCTTGGTTATTTGAACCATTGCGTGCTATGAGATTAATCATTTTGAATTGTTGTAGCACATAAAACAAGTTATATGCAGTTGTTAACATAGTAAACATTTTCAGTTTATCAGTAAGCACTGCCATTTTTCAAGAACAGTACATGCTGTGCAGAGTATATACTTTGCTGACTGAACAAAGAAAGTATCCCATTGTTAGTTTCAATTTTACGGTAAGTAAACACATCTGAGGCCTCGCTTTACTATTTTACAGCCACTTGAACAATGTCAGCTGATAAACAGCACTTCTTCATAAGTGAGAACTTATGTGCTCTTTTGAGCTAAATTAGTAACAATGGAGGGGGACCAGTATGTTTCCGGACTTTACCTCTATTAACTCTGGCACTCCATGTGGCTCCTCTGTGTCAGGAGCCTCTGGGCCCCCAGGCTTCGCTGCCACAGCAATCACTGGACATTCCTTGAATCTGGCCAACAGAAAAGCAGTCATATTGGACTCACTTCACGCTTTGATGTTAGAGTAATGATTAAAGTTACTTCAAGTAAAAAACAAGTGGGCCTGACAGACAGACTGCTGGAATGCCGAGATGGAGACAGAATGTGTAATGAAAGAGGAAGTTTGACAAGAGACTCAATCCTGGGCCACTGGGAGTACATGGGATGCCCTAACCCACTTAGCTGTCTGGGCCCACATTTCACAGCCCCTAGCTTCACACTCATCCATAGCAATTATTTTATTTGTATTTAATGCAGACCTGGTGCTCTCCAGTGTCTTGTGCAGTCTCTTGGTCATTTTCTCAATGGCACTCTGTCTTTTGTTGGGTGGCAGAAGGTCAATTTTGTTCAGGACGACCACCATGCAAGGGCAGGTCAGCTCTCCTATCAGTAGACACTCTGCAGTCTGTGTCTGCACGCCTTTCACCACATCCACCACCAGCATCATCAGGTCAATGATCTGAGCACCTAGAGAAGGCAGAAAGTGCAAACTATAATCAAGAAGACGTCAGATATTAGTGACAAGCTGAAGCAGAACAACACAGTAAATTGCTGTTAAAAAAGCTTCCCTGCTGTGCATCTATAAAACATTTTAAAAACTGTAGAGTAGAGACTATGAAGCCGACAACAGTAATACACACAGGAACAGACAGAGATACCCAAAAATAACAGTAGAACAAGAAGAGAAATTAGGGGAGGGGTGCACAAAAGCAAAGAGAGAGTAAACGGCTAGAGGGTTGAAACTAGAGCTGTAGCTCACTTGGTTGTCTTTCCTTTCCCTCTTTTCTTTTCCTGACTTTGGCAGTCTCTCTTTCCTGTGCTCCCCTCTTTTCTCTCCTTCTATTTGGCTCCCTCTCTTTCCTGTGCTCTCCCCACTTGGGACAGGAGGGGAAGTTAAATATATACCCCAATCCCCATACTTTCCTTCCTCCCTAATCTACAGCATGTGCCACCCCACTGGCTCATAGGCTTCATTTAGTTTGTTGGTTAAGACGGCACGGCACAATTCAGTGTCTGAGTGCCTCTAGTCTGCTTTAATACCTGGACCGTTACTTCTACCAAAGCCTGCTCATGTGATACTCTTTAAGCTTAAAAAGCTGAATCCTGATTGTTCATTTGTGTGAAAAACAAGAAGGACTAAAAGAGAACGCAGGTAATAGAGTAGGTGTCCTTTCCATTATCTGCTCTGGACAGCCACACCACCGTAGTTATCTCTCCTCTACTGCCAACCAACCAAGTCAATATATCATAATCAACCAAGCTACTTGCAGAGAAAAGGTGCCCTCTGCTGGATACGTCAACATTGTGCGTAAGAATAGTGAGGCTGTGAGCAACTTCTTACTGTGGCCATGATGAGTGCAGCATTGAGACAGTGTAATATTGGACTATCTCATGTTCTATTGTGTTATTGAGATACTGGTATTACTAATAACGTAGAACATTCCCTTTTAATGTTGTTATTGATACACACTGACACAGAGTAGTATCAGTGTTTGTGTTAATTGTGGGCATTACATAGCTATTTTAATTTTATAGCAATTTGTTTTTCAATTTGAAAACCTGAAAACAGCATGAACAGTGACTTTCTATCTTCAGATTAAATTTTTTTATGGCAGTTAAGCCATTTTCCATTATGACTGTTTTACATTTGGATGATGGTGCGTGCCTGTAAATAAGGTTAATAGACTTCATGCACGGACTCACTGTTGTACTGCCATATGGGAACCTTGAATGGGACAGAGATATTGTTAATGTTATTAGTGACACTGGTTCTCTTCCGGCTATGACAAGTCACAATGTCTGCTATGAAAACGGCCAATGTTTTTATCTTCAGTTGCATAAACGCTCAGTTGGAAGTAGGGATAGTAGTAGGGATGGGACAATGCACAATATTATCACGTATCACAATCAAAAACAGTTGGATAAGTATATCGTGGTAAACTGAATTGCCACAAAGGGGAGCCCACATCTTTCCATTCATACCAAAATCCTAAGTCTGTCACCACGGCTGAAGGCTTGAATTGCCCATTGTATTCCCCTCCAATACAGAAATACAGTAGATACCAAACTGAACGATGACAATGCAATAAAAATATTTGTTTTATGATAAAGTGACTCCAGTATGTTTTAGTGCTATTTTAAGATTTTGATGATTATATTATCATGAAATGTTTATATCGCACCATGCCTAGTTGGAAGTGTATTAGGTACACCTTGCTAAAAATTAATGTAGTTTAATTCAACAGCTCTGCAGTAAATCCTAGCTTTGTGAGTGCTATAATGTTTAATATAATGATCAGTGTTTCTAATATTTAGCCTCCCCTCATTGATATAAATGGACAAAAAAATTATACACACAAACTACATCCTCTAAAATTACCACCAACTTGAATCAACACCTCTCTAATACTGAAACAAACATTATAACCTTCATAAAAGGTAGAATTTATTTCTGATCTGGTGGACTGCATGTGTGCACCTAATAGTTTGGGCGCATTTGTGTGAGGTATCAACATATCCTGACTGACTCCCATGTGTTTACAACCATTTCATGCACTGCCATCAGAGTGACATCTAGCACCAAAACTTCAGAGAGCTCACCCCCAATGATAGTCCGAATAAGAGAGGCGTGTCCTGGACAGTCCACCAGGGTGAACTGCAGGCTGTCATACTGCTTCTGGCCTCCGCTGTCCCGCAGGTGATCGGGCAGATCCACCGTGAAGGAGGAGAAGCCGAGGTCCAGCGTGATGCCTCTCTCACGGGACTGCGGGTTCTTGTCGAAGGCAGCGGTGGAGGCGGTGCTGCTCAGCGCCCTGGCAAGCGATGTCTTCCCGCTGTCGACATGTCCGAGCACCCCGATGTTGAAATTTAACGTCTGGGTGCGACTGTCAGCTGACTCTGACATGTTGACAACCGATTTGATGTAATGTTGACAGGCGTGCGTATTTTCCTTTGCTCTGAGCTGGACCTTGAACTCAGCTCCAACGGCGTTACTTAGCGACTGTCCACAGTCTTTTTGTTCGTTAACATCCGCTTATTAAATCCGAAACACCTTCACGGCAAGCTGGTTTAACTAGTTTGCGGCTTAGAAAACATATATAGCAATAAATAAGACTTTAGTGTCGCATCGGCGTGTGAACAGTTGAGAGAAAGGTCTTCCGTGGTGGCGGTGCACTCCATCCTCGGGACAACATGTTAAAGCGGAACGGGTTTTTTAGTTAAACAAAAGTAAAACAAGAGGGAAACCGAGCTGGAATAATGGTAATTTGATTAAAACTTAGCTGTAAAATGCATAAGAAGCAATGAACCCCCTTTATCTTTTTAGTTCTACATTCGTTTGAGAGTCTTATTCACACTTTGATAAGTTTCTAGCAGTTTCTACTACGACAAAGCAAGTGAAACACAAACGGAAGTGAAAACGACAATGGGCGGGGCTTTGGTTGAAGGAAATAAATGACGGGAGCTTTAGCCAATGGGTGTGTCGCATCGGTCGACAATGTCCAATAGTTTTTCGAGATTGTCCGGATAGGCGGTGCTTCGAGGGTATCACTTCCGCTGATTTTCCCTAGTTACCCACATGGAAACCGACTTCCCTGTGTTTTGAGTTTCGGCGCCGATTGCGGCGGTGAGAAATAATCTGAGACACAGGACGCATTTTCTTCACCGTACACCTGCCTTTAAGTATTTACATCACATATCTGTGCAGTAGTCGTAACTATGAAGATCGAGGAGGTAAAAAGCACCACGAAAACTCAGCGGATCGCCACTCACAGTCATGTCAAAGGACTCGGGCTAGACGAGGCCGGGAATGCTAAACAGTCGGCATGTGGTCTAGTCGGCCAGGAGGCTGCAAGAGAGGTAATAATAATGTTTCTCTGCCCCTACGTATTATTGGTGTTGTTTGGAGGGATGACTTAGAGAGGTGAGGATTTTCTGGAACAAGGATTTCGCTCACTGCAGGCGGTAAGGTGCACCAGCAACCTAGCTGAGGTCCGTTAGCGCTGTGGGGTCGCTGTTTCATACTTCACTCAGAGGCAGGGAAAGTCCACCCTAAATAGAAGTTACATTTCATCATATTCTATTAATTCTTGGTATACTATGTTACATGTTTGATTTGGTTTTTTATAGACACTAACTGCACCCGGTGTTTTTATTGAAATATGGTTATATTTTCTCAGTCAAGAGGAGGACCAGCATTCATATACAAAAAATGTAAAAATGTAAAGTGTAGACTTCTTGGTTAATCTTGATGCTCTGATTTAGAGATGTTTGCAAGGATACTTTACTGTCTAAAATCACAGGTATAGCATATTGTCTGTGGGTCCTTTTTGCAACCGCGAAAGAGTTTAAATTAAAGACAGATTAGATTTCTTTATTCGCAGAATGCCAGTATAGTAACACACATAGACTGATTAACAGATTTCACACTGCACAGATTAGGAATTGCAGAAGCTGCTGCCAATTCTTGATTTCAATATGTGAAAATATAAACACGATGTGAAATGGACAACTTCAGGTGCACTTCCTCTGCATATTTGACTTCAATGGCAATCTGCTTTTCTATCAGTCGAGTGTAACTATGGTAAATGTGTTGACTTACGTCCTTAACAATAGTCCAACTCTCTGGGTGATATATTAACTAAGTACCACTTACAGACACCTGCTTTGAAACCAGTTCTTCCAACATCATACTCAACTCAATGGTGTATCCGACATCCAGCTATGTAAATTTCAATTTCAAGTCTTGTTTACTACTGTATGTAAATAAATAATGGTGGTATATATATTTTTTTCACTCTCCAGGCTTGTGGCATCATTGTTGAGCTGATCCGTTCAAAGAAAATGTCAGGAAGGGCAGTGTTACTGGCAGGGCCACCTGGTACAGGAAAGGTAAGTGTGAAGTGTTCATTCACTGGCAAAACAAATGAATGCAGCTTCTTTTGTTGATGCAGATCGTGAGTCTTAAATGCATTTTCTACTTCTCCTTCCTTCAGACTGCACTCGCCTTGGCTGTAGCACAGGAGTTGGGAAATAAGGTGCCTTTCTGCCCCATGGTTGGCAGTGAGGTCTACTCATCTGAGATTAAAAAAACAGAAGTACTGATGGAGAATTTTAGGAGGGCCATTGGTGAGTGTCACTTAAATATGATTTGGTTCCTTGGCCATAGCTCCTCCTACAAGGCTCAGCTGGGGTATGAGTGAAAATGTATTTACTGGTTACACACAACCTTTTACACAAGCATCATTTTAAAATAATGGCAAACAGTTAATTGAAATAAATTACAGCAAGATGAAGTAAATGTTAAAATGAAGGAACATTTTAAAACGGACAAAGTTATATATTTACCAGACTCCTATTGAAAAAGGTCACAGTAAAAACAACAGGGAGGTCTGTGGATTATCCCGAGTAACTATAACATTGTTTCTGGAAAAAACATGAAACAAATTCCATTCACTTCATTCCCTTCCATTTCATTGGATTAAAGCAGCATACTTGTCAGAACAAGTCCAAAGCTCCCTGTATGACTATATTTCACTAGCACTAAATGAGATAAAAATATTTTTAGTTCCTCTACTCTCTTCATCTCTTGTTGTAAAAGGACCGTATACATGCAACTAATTCCCTCCTTGAGGAGTCCTTGGGCAGAAAGAACAAGGTGTCCTGCTCACACCGTTCTCATGAGCTGAAAGGCAACACTTGACAGCGGATTTATGAGAATGGTGTTGAGAAGGAAGGAAGGCTGGAGAGGGTTTGTCTGACTGCTGATGGTACCTGTCAAAGTGAAGGAAATGGAGCTGAGGTTGAGGGAGAGGTGGTCATCAGCACCTTTGCTCCTCCCCTAGAACAGGATCCACAGGGGGGAGGGGGGGGTTTCATTTTGAAGTTGTCATCACTCTGCCGATAAGAGCGCTGTGACAGACAGTCCCTGCTTTAAGCATTGCTTTCTGACCCTCACCACAGCGGATCAGCCACCTGTGAGCTGCTCATACTTAGTGCCACAGGCTGCATGAAAGAGGAACAAGAGTGTGATCATGTTACACAAGATGATGCCCAGACATTTCATGGGCACACGCACACACGTTCTCTCTGTAATAAAATGCATTGTACAGTAGACTGAAGGATGTGGCGGCTCGGTTGAGTCTGGAATATAAAGGCCCGATTGAGTTCTCACTCTGTACTGTGTGTGTGTGTGTGTGTGTGTGTGTGTGTCTGTAATGTCGCCCACATTCAGGACTGCGTATCAAAGAAACAAAGGAGGTGTATGAAGGGGAGGTGACAGAGCTGACCCCCTGTGAGACTGAGAATCCCATGGGTGGCTACGGAAAAACCATCAGCCATGTTATCATCGGTCTGAAGACAGGCAAAGGCACGAAGCAGCTCAAGGTCAGAGCTATAATCTTTTTCTATTCTTTCGTTTGTTGAAAAGGTGTCCTACTGCCTGTTTGTTGGAATTTAATGATACTTTGGAACATTAATGTTGGGCTTTCAAGAATAGTGTGCTGTACTAACACTGATGAACAAGTGTCTGACTTAAAAATCTCTTGTCTTGTTTCCTTAGCTGGACCCCAGTATTTATGAGAGTCTTCAGAAAGAGCGTGTGGAAGTGGGAGATGTCATCTACATTGAAGCGAACAGTGGAGCTGTCAAGGTATCAATGTTACTTTCATGTTTTACTCACAACACATTTTTAATCAGCTGATCAAAATAGACAAATATGTACACACTATGCTTTCATTTACCAAATTGTTCAGCAAATAAAATAAATATTTGGTTAGAGCAAAGTTCATTGTCTTCTGTCTTGCATCTCCTCCTCAGTCCTTCATGGTGGAGTTCTTTCATCTCTTTCAGCTCTACTGCATTTCTACTGTACTCTGGAATGAGTCTCTCTCATTCCTGCAGCTCTTTATGCTTCCTTTTATCTCTCCATCTCCCACAATGCCTTTTTTTCCAGTAGCAGGGCTTGTGGCTTGTGTTGACAGGCTGCGATGACGGCTCCTTTAATCGGTGCAGGTGGGCCTGGGGTGCAGGTCGGCTATAGTCAGAGGGCTGGACGACACATTTGTTACTGTTGACAGCTGTCTCATGACTTACCTTCTGAAACTCTTTCATCTTCTCTGCGATGGGCTGGCACTGAGTTCCATCATACACCTGCTCTCCCTCCTCCCCTGTGCTGTCTTTTGTCTCACTGTTGACCAGGGCAATGTGACATTTTAATTTTTGTTAAACAGTGGGTAGAAATTTAAACTATTATTATTATTATTATTATTATTATTATTTAGACATTTCGGTGTTACTGTGTTTTTGCAGAGACAAGGTCGCTGTGACACTTTTGCTACAGAGTTTGACCTCGAAGCAGAGGAGTATGTCCCGCTGCCCAAAGGTGATGTCCACAAAAAGAAGGAGATAGTCCAAGATGTCACACTGCATGATCTGGATATTGCAAATGCCAGACCCCAGGTATGTAACTGCAGATGTCATTGCCTCTGTTTGTCAATCTATTTTGTAAGAAAAACAGTGTATATATATATATGTGTGTATTTTTTTAACATCATTATTGTCATTGTTTGATCTCAGGGAGGCCAGGACATTCTCTCCATGATGGGACAGCTGATGAAGCCCAAAAAGACAGAAATCACAGGTAGAAAAAACCTTCCCAGCTACCATCAGAGGCTGGCTTAACCACTAGTTGACCTTTTTATTATTTATCCATTTACGTTTTCTCTCCTCTTTTAGATAAGCTGCGTGCTGAGATCAACAAGGTGGTGAACCGTTACATTGACCAAGGCGTAGCTGAGCTCGTACCTGGTGTGCTGTTTGTGGATGAGGTGCACATGCTTGACATTGAATGCTTCACATACCTCCATCGAGCGCTCGAGAGCACCATCGCTCCCATCGTTGTGTTCGCCTCTAACAGGGGAAACTGTCTAATCAGGTTAGAGGTCTAAAGTTTGTTCTATGAAGAGAAACAAAAGATTCAAAATTCAACAGAGAATATCATTTTTTGCTACTCTTAAATTGCAAATATGTAAGATTTGTAGTATTAACAATCATTGTTCACCAGAGGGACAGAGGACATCAGCTCTCCACACGGGATTCCTCTGGACTTGCTGGATAGAGTCATGATAATCCGCACCATGTTGTACACACCACAGGAGATGAAGCAGGTGAGTCTGGTTATCAGATATCTTCATGGAAGATGTACTGTACATCTTCGTCTGTGCATGTGTCACTAATGACAGTGTGGTTTGTAGATCATCAAGATCCGCGCTCAGACAGAGGGGATTAATATCAGCGAAGAAGCTCTTACACATCTGGCAGAGATCGGCACTAAGACCACCCTCAGGTAAGAATGTATCTGCGTATGACTGAATAGAGTGAAGAAATGATCAACCTTA